GACCTAGCGGATCACCTGACACCATCCACCGCCGTAAGGCACTGTTTCCACTTTATGACCTAGCGGATCACCTGACACCATCCACCGCCGTAAGGCACTGTTTCCACTTTATGACCTAGCGGATCACCTGACACCATCCACCGCCGTAAGGCACTGTTTCCACTTTATGACCTAGCGGATCACCTGACACCATCCACCGCCGTAAGGCACTGTTTCCACATTATGATCTAGCCAATCACCGTACACCATTCACGCCCGTGCACATTATGAGATAGCGGATCACCGTACACCATTCACGCCCGTAAGGCACTGTTTACACAAAATCACAACCAGCAATCGATTTTAGCGAATCACCGTACACCGTCCACGCCCGTAAGGCCATGTTTACACAAAATCACAACCAGCAATCGATCTTAGCGAATCACCGTACACTGTTCACGCCCGTAAGGCCATGTTTACACAAGATCACAACCAGCAATCGATCTTAGCGAATCACCGTACACCATCCACGCTAGTAAGGCCCAGTTTATACCAGATCACAAGCAATAAACAATATTCCACGTATACTACCTAACTGAGTGGGTGCGTGAAACTGTATCAAGACGATGTACGACTACGACGATGGATGTTTACGCTGTGACGCTGTGGACGTGACGAGTCACTTCCTCGTCTGTCATATTTAATATAGGAGGCCCACCAGGAGCTTATCAACATATAGTAGCGTTAGCTTCCAACAGGTTAACAGTTTAGTGTGTTTCTTAATGGGCGTCCACACAGGCTGATTTGTCCATACACACCATGAACTTCTCGTGCAGGATGCCTCTTCTGGTAGTAGAGGCGACTAAAGGGATCGGGTGGTCAGGCTCGCTGACTTGGTTGACACATGTCATCGGTTCCCAATTGCGCAGATCGATGCTCATGCTGTTGATCACTGGATTGTCTCGTCCAGACTCGATTATTTACAGACCGCCGCCATATAGCTGGAATATTACTGAGTGTGGCGTAAAACTAAACTCACTCACTCACTCTGGTAGCAGCCGCGTTTAAATGATTGAGACCGGACAGTGAGTGAGTAAATGTTGCTTTATGCTGCATCAGCAATTTTGCAGCTATTCGCCGTTAGAGACCGACAGAACATTGTTATAACAACCATCTCGGTCAGAAGTTCTCGATGATTCTCGAACATGTTGACCCATCGATAAACCAGTTTTGCACTTTTTCATTCTTGGGTTAAAATCGCCTGCAACCATGCTATTCTGGGACACTTTTGTTTTCCTTAATACCTTATGAAAAAGCCTATAGTTGGCTCATGTCACTCCGCCCAGTGGTTAAGGCGTTCGTTCGTCCGGGTTCGAGTCTCATACAGGTACAATGTGAGAAACCTGTTTCTGGTGCCTATTTCAGCCGTGATATTGCTGGAATATTGCTAAAAGTGGCGTAAAACTAAACTCACTCACTCACTCAAAGTTCAGGTACAACGTTCCAGTTGTCCTTGGTGTGCATTTGTATATGGCCACGGGAACGAGAAATAACGAAGACGACGACCTATACATCTAGGGCTGTGGTTATGGACTCAGTATGACAGCACGAAGCTGATTATTTATTGCATAACCGTCTGGCGGTACACACAAACCGGTTATACCTCTGCGATAGGGCTGACTCAGCACGGATGAACTGTCCTGCAAAGATGTCAGGGTGTATTTTACAGCAACTTCTTCAACAATTGTTTTAGTTTCACGCCGCATTCAGCACTATTCCAGCTATATCTCAGTGATCTGTAAATAATCGAATCCAGTGGTCAACATCATGAGCACACACCGTTGGTTTTGGAAAAAAGATCGCAGGTACATTTAGCAACATGAACGAAATATTCACAAAATTTTATCTGAAGATGCCAATCCAAACATGACCACGTTGTAAATCTCCTGGTTTCTTTACCAAAGCGTAATTAGGGTTCCGACTTCAAATCGTGCCAAGCCATCCATTTGGAAATTAGTGAACAAACGACTACACAATCAACGTTAACCTTCGTTCAGAAACAGGTGGATGGACAGGAGGGACGTGTGACAAATCTGTCCTAAGTTATTTACTTGTCGCGCCTCTTCGCAGCTTCGAAATTATAGTGAATGAGTTGAGTTTTATGCCGCTTCTTGCAATTTTCCATCGCGGCGGGGAATACATTTTACCCAAATTGGGGATCAATCCTGGACCTTTGGCGTGACGAGCGAAAGCTTTAGGAACACACGTCGAATTTATGATATCCTGAGAGGACCACTTGACACTACAGGGTACTTCAACGACGAGTGACCGCCTCCGTGGTGTAGTGGTTAGAGCGTCCGCCCGGAGAGCGGAAGGTCGCGGGTTCGATCCTCGACCGCGTCATACCAAAAGACGTTAAAATATGGTACTTGTTGGTCCCTGCCTGGCGCTCGGCATTAATGGGTACAACAAGGACATGTCGGCTCGGAGTCAGTATAATGTGTCTGAGTGGAGTATTCATGCTTCACTGCGGCATGGTATCTCAGTGGGCTAGCACTATTGAACCAGCTTAAATCTGGGCTATTACAAGCAGCCGCACATACACATACACACGCATGCACGTCGTCATATGAGCGAAATATTCTCAAGCACGACGTAAAACCCAATTTCACCTCACCTCAATGACGTGTGACTGAGTGGCTTATGGTTGCTTAAACATAATCCCATCATTGGTAAAGGTCACCAAGAATGGACTTCACACATTAAATCCATGTGGGATTCGAACCTGATAAGCCAACATTATAATCACTACAATGAGTGAGTAGGTATGGTTTTACGCCAATTTTAGCACTATTCCAGCATTATAACGGTGTGTGTGTGTGTGTGTGGGGGGGGGGGGGCACCAGAAATGGGTTTCACACATTGTACCCAGGTGGGGAATCGAACCCGGGTCTACAGCGTGACGTGCAGATGCTTTAACCACTAGGCTACCCTATCGCCCCTTAACCACTACAGAGTCAACACAGCACCATGCCAACAACAGATGTGTTATAGTCGTCCCCACGGTTAGTTGAATAAAGCGTCTGCCAACAGGAGAGCGGAAGTTCAGCGGTTCGGTCCCCAGCCACGCCATACCTAAAGAGTTACAACATGGTACTTGTTGTGCTTCCCTGCCTGGCGCTCGGCATTAGTGGACGACAACAAGAACCTGTCGGCTCAGATTCAGTACAGTGTGTCTGAGTGAGTATATATGTGCCATGGTGCCTCAGTGGGCTAATAGTATTAAATCAAAATTAACTCCGGATTGATACAAACAGCATCACGTGCACACACATACGCATGCACGCTCTGTCATACGTGCAATTATCATGAATTGCATGCAGTAACATATGTTACGTACAACAGTTCTATACGGAAGAGTTAGTGAAGATTTTCTGACGCACCGATTATCATAACTCCGTAACATGACGGCAGCCTGTATATAACTGAGTCTGAGACGACGTGTGCAACGGTCAACGACGTCGGGTCATTGCTCTGAATGGTAAGGGGTCATTCTTCATGCGTAGTTGGAGACTGTGCATTCGGGATAGTGACGTTAGAGACATTTGTAATGCGTCCATTGATCGCAAAGCATTATGGGGCATCATCCACATAAAATTCAACCATCCACATAAAATTCAACCATCTTTGTGAGCATGAAGCTACTGCGCTGGTGGCCATTATTTGGCGTCGGACGCAGTTTCATATCGTATCACGTTACCTTTGTTCCATATATTTGAAATCTTCGTACTATTACGTGCGCGAGAAAGAGATTCATACTGAGATATTGTATTACATACCCCTACTCTTTTTCTGAGATAATCATAATATAATAAGATGAAATCTTCGTTTTTCTTTTTTACAATTTACTCTTAAAATGTATTTACCAACCTGCTTTATGTAAATCATTAACACGGGAATGTCTTCCATGTATATATTTTGTGTAAACTATTTGATTGGTTTTCATTTTCTTAGTACCCAACTCTCTGACTCACTCACTTACTCACTCACTCAGTCCTTTGTGTTCATGGTCATATCTGCATACATCTGAATGACAGAACTGTATGTAAACACAGATGACTTAACGTGTCGCCGATTTTGTATGGAAACATATTATATTACATACAATGCAACAACAAAATTAGGATTATAATGCCTTGCAGAGGCAGCCAAACATGAAAAATTATCATCCGAATCAAGTTAGACAAAAACATTTTATTCATGTTTTTTTTATTTAACGAGAAACTATGACACACTGTTAATTTCTGCTAAGATCATATGGTCGATAAAAAGAGCAGCGTATAGCACAAGCGCAGAGAATGAGAAACTATACGCGAATACGTCGTATTATAATCTCTTAAATAAATAATTAAATTACATATTTTCGTTTTGCAGTAACAACACGGGTGAGCGGGTCGACGATCGGATGTGTCGACACTCGCCCCGATACACTAACTTCGCTGGTTTCACTGTTATAAGATACGCCCGCTGTGCTTATTACGGAACCCTAAACGAGCCCCTCTACGCTCTTTTGGATTATTGTGTCAGCTGTAACCGATTGCGATCGAGAGGTGTTGTATTTTGATAATTAAGCACATGTACTATTAGTATCGTGTGAGAATATGAACGTAAAATGCGCAGTAATACACATTTTGAACGCCAAAACTGCCAGGGCCTCTCACATGTTAGTGCGCTTACTAGCGGCAGCGGTATTGTGAATATCTAGGTCATATATAGTAGCCACAACAAATCGACCACAACGCAGTGCACGGTGTCAAACCCTTAACGATTGTCTACCTAATTTGTTGTGCACAGTCTTAGCTATAAAGACTGCTCATTTAATATGTCCTATGTTGCATATTCTTCACAAACAAGCATGTTTGGTTATGGCATCGCGAAACATTCCTAAACGACTGTCACAATCCTTACCAGCTAGCTGATCATGTGACTATACACGTGGCCTTACAACGAGAGATATTACCCAGTGTTCTTAGAGGCAACACATTTTTATTTGGCAATATGGCGGAATATTGTAAGTTAACCTTTTGGGAACACATTTTCTAGCTTACATAAAATTATATACAATCAGATTTCACTGATATATCGTAGAATGTGTCTACTCGCCATATGCGAGGTATCTGAAATAGTCGTGGTGTTGTTTATAAGGACAGGCGCTGATAGCGGGGCGAGTGTTACTCGGCTTCAGAAATGCATGTTCGTGAGATACTCGCAGCGCGTTTGGTATTGCTGTAATGCGCATATCTTGAATGAGATGAACTCGTGTTTCATAACATGTCGCACCAACTTTCATGAACACCTATGGCATATTCTCAAATAGACAGATGTACTTGTAGGCACCACGAACTGCACTTAACTGCATGTAAACACGTTGCTATCGTCGTGTGTGTTGAATGTTGATCCCATTCCCGCGTAAAAGGCGTTATCAGGAAAGTACTTCCTTCTTTGAATACATCAAACTGTATGGATTCAAGGAATGGTGGCATATATATACCTAATCCTTTGATGATCTAAACGTATAACGGTTCAGTGCATCGAAAAATCTGAAACGCCAGACACAGGGAAGGTCGTTTTATGAAGGATATTCGTACAGGCCTGACGACTCGAGAGGAGGGGTGCGTCCGCATGCAGACGACAAGCTCACAATGCGTCAGGACGACCCTTCGGTATTTGAAGTAACTTGTATGTTTTGACGAATGTTATTCTATTTTGATGATTACCTACACCCATTGCATCTTCGAATGCGTAGTTGCAAAGAAACAAATCGTGATTACCACTGTAATTTAGGTCTATATCAAAACGGACATGGTGGATGCTAATTTCCTTCTAGTGCTGGCATATTGTCATTTGTGTCATAGTCAAGGCTAGCAGATTTCTTAAGGTGGAGACAGTTTTGCTGCCCAATGTTTATTCTTTATTAAGCCATTGTTATTATACAAGTGACACTAAGGTACTTACGGTCCAGTTATTAGGAAGCTCTTCTTGCTTATGACATATTCATCTTCACAGGATGGACCCATTATCCCTGATGTGCTTCTCTATGTTATTATGATTTCACCCATCATGTAAACTATTACAGTGTGTGGGATAAATATTGGTATAACAACATATTGTAAGAGTGAGTGAGTAAATTTCTTTTTCTATGTGGCCAGGTGTATTTGATGTTTTACAAGGTTGCTTAGGTTGACTTTGTTTGGATTGTAGTGGCACTACTGATATATATAAAGGGGCGGTGGTGTAGCCTAGCGGTTAAAGCGTTCGCTCGTCACACCGAAGACCGGGTTTGATTCCCCACATGGGTACAATATGTGAAGCCCATTTCTGGTGTCCCTTGTCCTGATATTACTGGAATATTGCTAAAATTGGCATAAAACAAATCTCACTCACTCACTAGTGTATGGGGTGCTAACAGTGTGAGCGATACAATAATATATACAGGTATTTTAAATAGGCATTCTTTCTCAACGGTTTCAAGTCTAAACATGCTAAATGTAAGTGAGACATGCTGTATCATTTCTAATGGTGTATTATATTGAAGGTTACAATATACAGCATTTGTCACTTGTCCACAGCCTGAATCTAATAAAATTCTCTTTGGTCTAGTAAGTTCAGCTACTAATCGTCCTGTGATAATACTAAATTCACTTTATACAACACTTATAATACACTAGCAGACTCAAAGGTTATTATTAGCAATATTTAGTAAAATAAAGAAAACATTTGTAAGAAAAGACTGCCATGATTGTGATTTTGACTGACTTTTGAACTTGACTCTTGGACTTGGGATCATGCATGTCATTGTATCGAATTGTGTAGGTCGATGCTCATGCTGTCAGTCACTGGATTGTCTGGCCTGTCTGGATTATTAATGACTATTAAACTGATAACCAAATACAAAGAAATGTTAATGATCTTCTAACATTTAATTCTGTCATCCTTTTGAAGATTTAGTGAAACTATAATAAGACTTAGCTGTTAAATAGTTTTTCAGTAAATTGCAGTACATCACAATTGTTATGTTTGACCAACATCAATGTTTCTTATTTGTTTAAAATTTAAACACGTAAATATTTAACATGTGATGAAATATCTTTAGATTTACTGATCAAGTAAGTGGCTCTTTTACAGGGATTGACGTGCTCACTAGTTTGTCATTTCCTTCCAAAATCTAGTTATAGTACATTAACCACTAGTACAAAGTAAGCTGTGAATTAGTTGCATATCAACCATTACAGAATATACTGCTTCTCTAATGAATGGGGATGGTGGGTTAGCCTAGAGGTTAAAGCGTTCACTCGCCACACCGAAGATCTGGGTTTCATTCCCCCCATGGGTACACAGTGTTAAGCCCATTTCTGGTGTTTCCTGCCATGATATTGCTGGAATATGACTAGAAGCAGCGTAAAACCAAACTCACTCAATCACTCACTCACACTAGAGAATGGCATGTGCTGATTTTCAGTGATCCATCCATAGAATTTTCATGGCTATATCTGCCAGTTGAAATATGCTAATTGATACTGGTTGTTTTCTGTCGTTGACATTGCATATTGAGGTTGTTAGTTATTTAATGCTACACTCAGCAATATTCCAGCAATGATGGTGTCTGTAAGTAATATTTGAGTCTGGACCAGGCAATCCAGTGATTGACATCGTGAGCTTCAGTCTGCACAAGCGAGATACAATGGCAAGGCAGCCAAGTCAGTGAGTACTCAAACATTTAAGGATTCTAGAAATTGTGTGCATAACATTTAGATTCAGCTTGTAACATGGCAAGTGCTGATGTTGAATTTCACATGTTTGCGGCTTACCTTTTTTTTTGCATACATCAGTATCATGATTATGAAAATTGACTTGTGGTTACATTGTATTGAAACCTCAAAGGTGTAATTTTGCAAATATTCCCCATAACTTTATGCAACCTCTCAGCACTGAATATAAAAACTCCACTAAGATAACTGAATTTATTAATAACATATTACTGATAGCATGTCCTCTTTGTCCTGTAACAACACGCCTCAACCCTTGAAGTTCCAGTTAGAGTTCATCTTCTGTATGTGTTGCTTGTCACAATATGCAACTAACAGATTTAGGTGGTCAGGCTTGCAGACTATATTAATAGGGGTAACTATTGAGGGCGAAACAACTATTGCCATAGCAATAGTCTGTTGCAACATACTATTGCGACTAAATATTTTAATACTATTGCGATAGATTGTTTCTCCTTGAATTGTCTCATTTGAAGTCTTTTCCCAAATGAATGGATAGTTTATATGAAATAAAAACAAGCTGAAGTAATTTCAGCGTCTTTAAATAACTGACAAGAAACTTGAAACCCAGTTCAAGTAAACAGTTCACAGGTAAAGGGTGGATAACTCTAAATCAAGGTGAACGAATCTGGTACTTCCTGTATTTTGCGCTGCGCAAAAATAGTTTGATACATAGTTACACTTACAGCCCTATATACTAATGAACATCATCGTATCCCACCTGCATAGATCTATGCTCATGATATTATTCTCTGAAGTGTCTGCACCAGACTGTTTTTTCCATATATTTGAATGCAAACAAAAAAATTAAGGTCTTTTCAAAATTGCTGCCAACACAGCCCAACTAACGGGTAGATGACAACCTTCATGCCAATCTCTTCAACGATGGTCATACAACTTTCATATTGGAGGATATTTAGGACACATTTGTTCCCAAATATTTAAGGTCATAATTTTGAAATTATCTAAATGGCTGCTAATGGGTGTTTAGATGTCTCCTACTTTCTTGTTTGTTTTTATTTTTGAGATGTCGGGGAGTGTTCATGATCACAAGAAAGAAAAGCTCAAACAAGTACTTCAGATTGCAATTGATAAAGACCTTGGTTTGATCCCATAGGGTTCATAAGATAAGAAATGTAATATACCTTCTGTACAATATCTGCTGTCATGTGGAGCTGTTTATCATGTATTATTAATGCAGTGGGGTAGCCTAGTGGTTAAAGTGTTCGCTTGTCGCGCCGAAGACCCGGGTTCGAATCACCACATGGGTACAATGTGGGAAGCCCATTTTGGTGGACCCCAACCATGATATTGCTTGAATATTGCTAAAAGCAGCGTAAACCCACACTCACTCACCCACCATCATGTATTATATCATGAGCTGTTGTACCTCAGGTATTCTATATATTCCACTCACCCATTTTATCAGATTCTGCTTTTCAATTTATGCTTTCTGTGCAGCCATGGTCACATGTCTGGTCATTTCATTCTGCATAAGCATAGATAGAGATGTAGACAAAATCTACTCCTCACTGTACCAAGTAAGCACATGACCTTTCTGGTTCCTGCTAATGGGACCCGTGAAGATCCGGGGTAGAATAGGTCTTCAGCAACCCATGCTTGCCGCAGAAGGCGACTATGCTTATCGTAAGAGGCGATTAACGGGATCAGGTGGTCAGGCTCGCTGACTCAGTGATCATCAATAATCTGTTGGTTACAACAAGGTTACTATATTGTGATCAATTCCCATACCATTCCCATCACTGCAACATCCAAAGCACAAGCTCTAGCAGCAAATGGGTACCAGGTGGGATAAGATGGCGATACAAACCCTACCACCTTTCAATCATCTTGGCTTATGTACTTGGCAGGGGATCCGTGAAGATCCGGGTTAGAATTGATCTTCAGTAACCCATGCTTGTCGTAAGAGGCGACTAATGGGATCGGGTGGTCAGGCTTGCTGACTTGGTTGACACTTGTCATCGTATCCCAATTGCGTAGATCAATGCTTATGCTATTGATCACTAGATTGTCTGGTCCAGACTTGATTATTTAGATCGCCACCATATAGCTGGAATATTACTGAGTGCAGTGTAAAACAAAACTCACTCACTCACTCACCAGTGTAATATCATTTTAACCTGTCTTTTGTGATGTCTTGAATGCACTGGTGGAGGTGGAGGCAATTAATTGTGGAGTTTATAGTCTGCTAGTTATACCAGGGGTTGGTCAGGTAGTTTAGTGG